TCAATTTCCCCATTCCAATGCTTGGGAACTCTGCTGGCTCAGGCACCCCCATTTTTTCTGTGAGCCAGGGAATCCTGAGACGACACTGTCCCACCTAGAATTCTGCCCCACATTGCCACCTGAGCACCTATCAGGCAAGGACGTCTCTTACTAGAGCAGACTTCTAGATTCTGATTTTGTGCTCTGGGGCTATATCACTTTCCAGCAGCTGGCATATGGAGGCTCCCTCCCACTCCCATTTATCTTCTGATACATCCCCTCAGATTCACTTCTCAGCCTACCTTGCAAAAGGTAGTTTTTTTGGTTGCTTTCCTATTTGTAGAATTCCAGCGATTCTTTTCTTACATCTCAAGTTGAATTCATAGGTGTTCAGAATGGTATGATAGTTATCTAGCTAAATTCAAGGGACCAGGTGAAACAAGGTCCCTACTCTTCCACCACCTGTCTCCCTCTTCCCCTATGAATTTTAAAATCAGTTTGTGAATTTCTGCCAAAGCAGAGCTAGGATTTTGCTAGCTGTGGATTGATTTGGAATTTTGCCACCTTAACAATATGAAGACTTCCAATCCATGGACATAGGATATCTTTCCATTTATTTAGGTATTCTTTACTCTCAGTGATGTTTTGTAATTTCCTGTGTTCACATCTTGCACTAATTTTATTAAATGTATTCTTAAATACTCTATTCTTTTTAGTGCTATTGTAGTTTTTTTATATTGACTCTGTATCCAGTGATATTTCCAATTTTATATATTAATTCTAACAGTGTGTCTACAGTCTTTTGGACTTTCTAGGTATATAATCATCTTTTTTTTTTTTTTGACTTTTACTTATTTATTTAACACACAGAGAGAGAGAGAGAGAGAGAGAGAGAGAGAGAGAGAGAAAACGAGCATAAGCAGGGGGAAAAGGAGGCAGATGGAGAAGGAGAAGCAGGCTCCCCACTGATTAAGGAGCCTGATGTGGACTTGATCCTAGGACCGGGATTATGACCTGAGCAGAAGGTAGATACTTACCTGACTGAGCCACTCAGGTGTCCCTATAATCATGTTGCTTTCAAGTAACAACAGCTTATTTCTTTCTTCCCACTCCTTATCACTTTTATTTCTTTTTATTATATAACTGTACTGACTAGGACTTCTAGCATAATGTTAAAAAGATATAGTAATAGAGAACATTCTTGTGTCATTCTCCATCTAAATAGGAAAGTTTTTAAACTATTTCACTACTGTGCACATTTGTTATATATATATATATATATATTTTTTTTTTAAATAAAAAATGAGCATTGAATTTTTGTCAAATTTCTTTGACCTCTATCAAGAGGATCACATGGGTGGTTTTTTTTTTCTGTTAATGTAGTGAAATACACTGATCCATCCTTGAATGCTAAGGCACTCTTACATACATGGAATAAGCCATACTTAATTGTACTGTAGTATGACTTTTAAATATATGGCTGGATTCTACTTGCTAATATTTTGTTATGAACTTCTGGATCTATTTCCATGACATACACTGGTGAATAATTTCCCTTTCTATTAATGTCCTTGTCAGGTCTTGAAATCAAGATCCCCGTGTTGGCTCTGTTCAAAAAAATTACAGCATTAGAAACTATTTTTTCTTTTTCTATTCTCCGAAAAAGTTTAAGTTTGATACTATTTTTTCCTAAATGTTTGGGGAAATTCACCAGTGAAATCACCTGATGCTCTGGATTTCTTTGTGGAAAGATTTTTAATTGCTTCAATTTCATTACTAGTATCAGACCACTAAAATTTTCTATTTTTTCTGTCAGTAAGTTTTGCTTCTCGAGGGTTTGTTCATTTTTACCCAAATTATGTCAAATTTATTGATATAAAATCATTCACAATAGCTTTCTCTTTTTGATGTCTGTAGTGGTATCCCCTTTTTCATTCCTAATATTGTTAATTTGTATTTATCTCTTTATTAGTCTTGATAAGGGCTTCTCAAATTTATTAATCATTTCAAAGAACCAAATCTTAGCTTTGTTGATTTTTCTGTTGTACATTACATTCTATATTTCATTCATTTCTGCTTTTCTCTTTATTATTTCTTTCTATATTCCTTATATTTGATGTGTTATAGTCCTGAGGTAAGAGCATTTCTGATTTTAATTCTACATATATTTAAAACTCTACAAGTCATTTCAATTACTGCTGTGCAATAGCCAATTGAGTTTAATTTATAACAGTAAATTTAGCCATTTATTTGCCCTTTCTACTGTTTTTCATTCCCTCCAGCATTTCTGCACCTTCATCTGTGGTCATTTTCCTTTAAGGAACTCCCTTTAGTATCTCTTTTACTGCAGGCCAATAAATTTAGTGATTGTGTTGGAGTGCTTCAGTTTTGTTTTGTTTTTCCTCAAAATATCTCTATTTCACTTTTATTTTTAAAGATACTTTCACTGGGCACAGAAATCCAGGTTAGCATCATTTTAATACATTTTGAAGCTGTTGGTCCATTATCTTCTGTTTCTATCATCATCACAGTTGATAGACCAGCTGTCAGTTTCACTGTTACTCCTTTGAAGGTAATATTTCATTTTTCCATGTCTGCTTTTAAGATTTTCAGCAGTTTTGCTACAATGTGCCCAGTTGTGGTTTTCTGTGCATTTACTTCCTAGGGTTTGCTAAAATTCTGAATCTATGAGTTGATGTCTTTCATTATTTTGGAATGTTCTCAGCCATTGTCTCTGAATATTACATTTGCCCCATTCTTTTCCTTTTCTGCTTCAGAGATTTTAATTACGCATATTTTAGAACTTTTTGAGTATTATGTTTTGTGTTCTTTCCATTCTCATATCTCTGGGCTTTAATTTGAATATTTTTTCTTGTGATGTCTAACAGTTCACAGATCCTGAGTTTGGCTATATCCAATCCATAATTTTTTTTTAAGATTTTATTTACTTATTCGACAGAGAGAGATCACAAGTAGGCAGAGAGGCAGGCAGAGAGAGAGAGAAGGGGAAGCAGGCTCCCTGCCAAGCAGAGAGACCGATGTAGGGCTCAAACCCAAGACCCTGAGATTATGACCTGAGCCAAAGGCAGATGCTTACTTAACCCACTGAGCCACCCAGGCGCCCCTCCAATCCATTATTAAACCTACCAATAAGTTTTTCACTTCAGATAATGTATTTTTCAATTCAGGAAAGTCCATTTAAATCTCTGTGTGGATTATAATTTTCTGGTGAAACTTCTCAGCCTTTCATACATTTTTTTTCCTTTATTTTTTTGAAAATACTAATCATAGTTATTTTAGAATCTTTAAATGCTAGCTCTCTTATTTGAATCATCTACAGAGTGCTTCACTTCCTTTATACTGTTAATTATAAGTCATATGGTCTTGCCTCTGTGAATGTGTTGTCAGTTTTTATTATACGGCAAACATTGTATCTGTAAATTCCAAATTATATTATACTACATCAAAGAAGGTTTCCTTTTTCCTGTGTTAGGCAAACATGGTTAGTGGCTGATCACATAAATCCCTTTTGAGAGCATAGCATACTTAGGCTTTTAATTAAGAGCCTACAGGTCCTTGACTCCTCAGCCCTGAAATGGTTCTCCCTCTGGAATTTTAGTCCCTTTAGTCTGCTTTCACAGATGTCCTAAAAATTGTAATATTTATAACTTAGGTAGGCTTTATAGTTGTTACTGTTGGTACACTGGCCTGCCACAAACTACTGCATCCTACCCAGAAATGGGAGCTCTTCTGTGTTTGTTTGTTTTTTTAATTAACTTTATTTTTTATTTTTTATTTTTTTAAAGATTTATTTATTTATTTATTTGATAGAGAGAGAGAGAGAGATAGATCACAAGTAGGCAGAGAGGCAGACAGAGAGAGAGGGGGAAGCAGGCTCCCCACTAAGAGAAGAGCCGATGCAGGGCTTGATCCCAGGACCCTGAGATCATGACCCGAGCTGAAGGCAGAGGCTTAACCCACTGAGCCACCCAGGTGCCCCCCCACTTTTCTAAAGACCTTAGTTATTTGAGAGAAAGAGCACATGAGAGATATGAGCATGCAGATGGGCAGAGGGAGAGGGAGAAGACTCCTTGCTGAGCAGGGAGCCCTGATGTGGGCTCATATGTGAGACCATAACCTGAGCCAAAGACAGATGCTTAATCAACTGAGCCACTCAAGCACCCTACTCTATGTTCTTTAAAGAGGTGGAGATGAGTGTTCATGGGTTCACAGAATAATTCTCTAGGTGCTCTTCCTGCCTTCTTCCACTGAAGTTACTATTTATTTTAACTACCAATTCAGAAAGCACAACTGTTTAGGTTACTTTGATAGGAGCTACTGCTTTCACATTCCTTAGTACCTCTTAGTTACTCCCCTTACATATAAGGTAATTAGCAAGCTGAATATTAACTCAGTATTGGATGATATTAGTTACTATTAGCTTTTTATATGTAAGAGTAATATATTTATGTTTTTTCTTAAATCCTCACCATATACAAATATACACTGAAACACAGAGGATATAACATGATTTTCTTTAAAATATAGAAGGGGAAAACTGAAGAGAGGTACAGATGAAACAAATAAGCCATGAGTTGAACATTGTTTAAGGTAGGTAATGAGTACATAAGGGTTCATTATACAGATCTGTCCACTTTTGTGTATCTTTGAAATATTCTGTAACAAAAAATTCTTACGTTCACTGTCACCTGATTTGCCTCATCAAATCTATAAAGTCTTATATATCATTTGCTCTTCCCCAATAATGGCTTTTAGAAAAAAAGGGGCACTGCATATCAAAAACTAGTCAAATAAACTGTGCTCCAAATATCAAACCAATTTGACAAATATTATTTATAAGAAAGAAATCCTACTATATATTATTAATGTAATTATTATGAAGCTTAAACATCTAATTCCCAAGTATCTACATCTTGAATGAAGCAGTACTATAACACTGATACTCCTCCCTAGCTATAACTTTGCTTTAATGCAATACAGTAATAAATATAGCTATTTACCTTTATTGGGTCCTGCTATCGTAGATCTATTTGAATGTTTAGAATGGGAAATCTCTGTTTCTGATTTTTTTCGCATAACTATTTGATTTGCAAGCCTCTTCGGTCCTAAGTAAAAGACTGTAAATTTCTGCTGAATATCTAGTCCAACTAGAAAAATGAAAAGAGTATACAAGTACTTAAGTCCTATAAATCTAGCCATGAGATCATTTATTTGTTTTTATATCTTTCACATTTCTATACCTCTTGAAATAAAAGAGCTAACAAGTCCAGGAAATAAAAATATATATAAAAAAACAAGAGTTAAAAAATATAACAAGTTAAGGGGGGTGGTGGGTTAGGTGAGCCTGGGGGTGGGTATTAAGGAGGGCATGCATTGCATGGAGCACTGGGTGTGGTGCATAAACAATGAATTGTGGAATACTGAAAAAATTAAATTAAATTTAAAAAAATAAGTTAAAATTTATACATTTATCATCATAAAAATAAAAATCAATGTTCCTATAACAATTGAAATTTTATTATCTTGGAAAATAAAATACTTATAATTGAACAGATACAATTTTAATTTTGTTATCTTAGTCCATGCTATCTTTCACTTATCTGAATATATGAAACTTCCTTTAAAATTACTCATATTATTTAAATAGATTATTTTTACACAATATCATTTAAACTGCTTTTCTGTTTCAGCATGAAGGAAATTTTTAAATGCTATCATATTCTTTACATTTATGTGTTCATTACTTCAATGAACTTACCATATTCAGAACTAATTAGATTTATGCTAAGATCTTCAGAATTAAAAGCTCTCTTCACATCAATCTTTTTAGTCCAATTTCCAGCTTTTAGCAAAACAGAATCCCTGAAAAAGAATAACATCATTTAAATTGTAATTGGAATACTTAATGAAATAATATATTAATCATCAAGGGCAGACTGACCCTTAGATAGGTCCTATCTGGTAGTAAACTAAAGTCAGTACTGAAAATTACTTGCTGCCAATTCTGAGGAGGAAGAAATGGAGTGTCAATGGGGCTGCCACAACCATAATTTTCTAACTACACATTGGCCAAACAGCTGACTCCAAGTTAAATTGCTTCATTTCAGGTCCACCTGAATACATAGTTGATATCAACAACCCATGAGCTTGCCCCTACATCACTACCACTTTCAAATGGCTATATATAAGTTACACGAATTTGTGAGAACTTGATTAGTATCTTTAAAATTCATATAGAATAGTCTGCGTCCAATAACATCACAAACCAGCAACCAATTTTGTGATTGAATTTATTTTAGCTTTATATATACAAAACTGTCTTCAGACTTATCGCAGAAAACAAAGATTTGTACAATGACATATTCTCTATAAATGTGTCATAGCTGCTGCAGTAAAGCAGTTAACAGTGAAAGGGATGTTCTATTAGGCAATGTAGTCCCTTTAGGAACCTTGCATAGATGATTTTGGGAAGATATCTTCCAGTGCTCTGGCAACAATGAGGAGAATCCCATTTCTGAGTCACTGCTAAACCTGAACTTACAAGTAAAGTAATACAATTAGGAGCATAGGCTCTGGAGTAAGACTGCTTGGGTTTAAACCCAGACTTTGCTATAAACTACCTATATGACCTTAGACAAATTGATTAAACTCTCTGTCTCAATTTCTTCCTCTATTAAGACAATGATAGCTCCTGTCTATACAAAGATTAAATAATTCATTACCTGGAACCTATGAAGAGCTCAAAAAATATTAGTTATACCTATAACTGCTAACCTTATAGAGTTTGCCTAAGGCATCTGGGAGAAATAACACAATCAGAAAAAAGACTAATGTAAAAATAATAGAATGGCATGCTAGAGAACCAGGTGTAAGGGAAGGTACCTTTTTTTATATATATTTGATCTGGTTGCCTGATCCTACAATGGAGCTATAGTAGTTTGCTGGATTTTATTTTGGAAATATTAGATAAATCTTGAAGGAGCAGGAGGAAGATAATGAAAGGGTAGTAAGGTTGTGAATGACCGGAGAAAAGCAAAAAATAAGAAACTTCAACAACAGTGGGCTATAGCTACTCCTAAAGGTCATTTATTCACTTGTTAACAAACAAAACAAAACAAAACAAACCATGGTGATAGATTTCACACTGTTCATTTGGGTACTGATAACAGACCCAATGTTAATACTTTCTTTAACAGACAAGAAACTACCCCATTACAGCATAAGGAAAATGTAATTTAATTAATCCCAGAGTGATTTTGCTACTCTTTCTCAGCAGAATTTTTCTTTTATAGTATATGCTTAGAAATAGAATCAAGTGGAAATAGTATACTTACATAATTCTGTGCTTAAAAACCAGCTGATTATCTGCATCACCTATGATTAAGGTAACATAGTGAGAATCTGGTGCTGTTCTTTTAGTTTGTAGCTGTTCAAAATTTCTTAATGTAATGGTCACTAATATTTCTGCCATGGTGTCACTATATCTTGCAATCTTTAAAAAAAGAATAGGCATAAAAAGTGTTATAAATAACCTTACTACTCTTATTCAGCTCCAAGTCAGCTATGGGTAGCTTTATTCCTGAAAAGACCATGAAAATACCTTTAAAAAAAAATTTACCTGTTCCACTTCAAGTTCATATTTTGGCAGATACATCACTGTTTCTTTTATTTGCGTTCCAAAAGGGGGGTGTCTATTTAAAATCTAAAAACATTTATATCATTATATTCTTACCACAAGGCTAGAAGTTCTTTTAGTAAATACTTTTCAGTATCAATAGTTTTAATAATGCTTATTCTCAAAACCTTAAGTTAAAATACTTATGACTATGAGAAGGAAAAAAAATTTTTAGAAGAAAAAAAGATATAAAAGGTAGTCTTTAAAATTTAGATAAAATTCAGGTAACATTAGGAATAAGTGAATATTAAATACCAGTTCAAGTTCCCTTGCATCTGTTTCTTCTATTTTTTTAAAGGAGGTCAAACCTGCATTTACCATTGCATTTGACAATGTTATACCTGTGGAAAATTAATCAAATAGCAGTTTTTAAACAACCCATTTTACACTAAATCTATACTTAACTTTTCAACATTAGTAAAAAATCTGTTTTAAAGATCCAGATTAACAACTAATTTTTGAAGTTTTTTAAAAAATTTTTTCAGTTGGATTATTTGGACTGTGACATTTATTCAATTGTTATATTTATTTTTTCAAAATGAAATAAAACATGTATTTGCTTTATAGAAGAGAGAGGAACTCTTTGGTTCACAAGATGATTCAATACTTATTTTTATCATATGCCATCCATAAAGTACCAAGTGATTCCTACTGTTACATGTTAACTATAACATGTAACATGTTTGAAGAGAAGACAACATGACTTATGGATGGGAATATTGCTTCATAAAGCTACAGCTCTCTGAGCATTTCCACCTTAGAAAGAGAGTTCTGTTTCTGTACTGAAACCAGATAATTTTACTCTTCTAAAATTTCCAATTCCTTTCCATTGCATTCTGTATAAAGTGAAAATTTCCTACCATGACCAAACTCCCTTACCTATCTGACTTGACCACAGTCTCCCTGTCCCATTTAATTTCCTACCATTCTCCTCTTGCTGACAACTCTCTAGCCACATTTACTTTAATTTTGTTCTTCGAGTTCACTTCTATTTTTACACCTTCTCTGTTTCTTTATGCTTCAGGAAACTGGAATTTAAAATTCTTACACTCACAAATGAATTTAACCAAACCCCGAAATAGGAGATACTATCAGAAGTATAAAATTCCAAAATATTACCGTCTTGCCTAGGGCACATATATTACTGGTGGGGATATTACACTATTTCTTTTTCCATACCTTTAACTATCTTTGAAAATATCTCTTATTCATTCTTAAGATATAACTCCTAGTATTAATAATTCCTTCATGTTCATTTCCCTCGAAACTTTTCCTGAATTTTAATTTTTTATAAACGTTGTTGAAAAATCAATTTGTATTCATCATTCTTTTCCTGATGCTCAGGAAGAATGTAGATTTTCTTTTTCATTTAGATTCTCCCATTTTCCAGTGTATGAATTGTGCTGGGCAATTTTTGCTTCCTTCTCTTCAGCCGTACTGAGTTAGTATAAAAAACACATTAGTGTTCAACAACTTGGAAAAGATAGAAGCAAATGATGCCTGATTGACAATATTCTAGAAAGTCAGAAAGACTTTTTCAAATATAATGAAAATTTTCTTAATCGTTTAATCTAACTTCAAAATACTCTAAGTTGTTATTTCCCAAATGTTATATGGAACCTCCTTCCCACTTTAGAGCTCATCTTTTTGAGATGGGTACAGCATCTGGTTTGCTAGGACTTCAGTAGAAAAGTGAGCCTTAATGTCAAGAACCCCTCCTCTAATTTGACCTTACTTTCTTCCACAAGCTAATCCCCATCTTCACCGCAGTTCCCAGGACTGGTCAGTCCTCTGCTATCCCACTGATTTCAAACTTCCAGGAAATAATAAAGCACTTCCTCACAAAATAGTTGGAGATCTTTGTTCTAAGGAATAATGAGACAACCCCTAATAACCTGTTACGTATTTTTTTTTACCTGTTACATATTTTTTAATGTCCCCAAAATGCATATAAAATTATAAAGCTAACAAATCTGTTAGTCATGGAGTAACAATTCTCTTCTTAGAGAGGAGGAGGAGTAGGATCACAAAATCAAAGGCACCAAATTGGAAAACTCTAGAGTATACCTAGTTATACCCCAGTCTTTGTAACTGGTACCCTCTAGAGTTCTTCAATACATAACTTGAGCTACATCTGAATAGATAAGAAGTGATTATGCAGAATCTTTTGTCTACAGAATCTCTATGAAGATGAGTGAATATTGTCCTGTTACTGAAAAAAAAAAAAAAAGAGAAAAAGTTAAGATATAAATAAGTGATATAATTCTCTGTAATGAATTAGGAATGGCCAGGATTGCTAGCTCTGTACCTTGTCATTGAGATCAAAACAAAATAATCATAAAAGTGGAATAGAGAACAACACATGGTTACCTAATACTAAAATGAAATTTCACTCTTGGTTTGAGAACTAATTTAAAAATAAAAGTATTCATTTTTAGTAGGGGGTACCTGAGTGGCTCAGTTGGTTAAGTATCTGCCTTTGGCTCAGATTATGGTCTCAAGGTCCTGGGATGGAGCCCCACATCAGGGTTCCTTGCTCAGTGGGGAGTCTGCTTCTCCCTCTGCTCCTCCTCCCTGCCCTGCTCATGCTCTCTTCCTCTCTTTTCTCCATCTCCTCTTCCCTCAAAATATTTTTTAAAAAAAGAGCATTCATTTTTATCAGATTTCCCAATTGATTTCAAATAGAATCCTTCAATCAGGAGAAAATGAAAATCCGATTTTCAAGAGAAGTTCAGTACCTTATTTAGGCCTACAAACACATTTTTTCTTAAAGTCTATAAATACCATAGAATAATTTTCCCAACAATGAAAAACAAAATAAACTGCAGACATTGACAAATTGTCTGCCTGTATTCAGTACCTACCAATTTTTTCCAGCTGTTTGGATACATGTAGAGAGTTTTCCCAAAGTCTGCATCTAAAACATTTAGCTAAAATCAAACTGTTCAATAGTACAGCAAACTTCTTTTCTTGAACAGCCACAAAATCTGATAACCCTAAAAAGAAGTTTCCAATGTTAAATCTAGTATAATAGTTTACTGGAAAATACTGGGAAAAATAGTGAAAATCCATTAATCCTATAACATACATCTTGTAATTCGTGAGCCATTTCTGAAAATCTTTGAGGTATCTTGTGTCAAAGCAAAGTCTTGTATTGGAATGCATCCTAGCTGAGCCTGAATAAGACTGAAGGAAAGAAGAAATTTCATGATTTCCTTGTAAAAACTATTATCTCATAATATTTTACATCACTGATTGAAGTATCTCTTCTTAAAATTCCTTTCTATATTGATCTCTGTGACATTAGATGATTCTATATCTTGCACCATTGTTGTTACAAGTCATTGTTAATTTCTTTCCAACCTCTGAAAGTTTTCTTACTTCTCTACTCTTCTTCATTCCCTTCACACTCTCTTTTTCTCAAAAATCTCATTTCTTCTCAGGATTTTCATTTTAATTTCTAGATTGATAAATTTCAAATGCTTACAGGACACTCTCTTTAACCTCAACACATTTAAAATTGTTGTCTTATTCTCCTCTAATAGAGTACTTTTAGCTCTACATCAATAAGTTATTATAGAAAAGCAAGGCACTTTATGTAATAAACAAATATTTATTAAGTGCCTATCAGTGGCAAGCAGAGTATTAGCTCTTAAGATTCAGTTCAACATATGAAGGTCGGTAACATATTAGTTGATTATTAGAAACCAGCAGTTGCCTAGCTACAAAATTTGAGGAATGGGTGGTAAAAAGGGAGAAAAGGAACTAATATACATTGCACCTACTATATCCCATTTTGTCTGCACTTCCCTAACCAGACGAAGATGTGCAACTCATCACCTTATGGATCTAACTAAAATTATCAGACTTATATTAATTTTTTAATAAGTCAGGTATACAAAGAAAGTAGAATAATAGTTCTATTTCATGTTTTAGTTTTAGTAAACAATATGTGAAAATAGAAGGTAGTAACCAACTCACTTCTCAGAATGGGTGCATATATCTGAAACTAGAAACTATTTAATTCTTTTGGCTATCGAATTATATAATTCTATATAATTCTTTTGGCTATCGAATTTTATAATTCTATATAATTCTTTTGGCTATCTTTGGAAAGTTATTTTATATTATCTATTAAGAAACAGTTGTAAGAATAATCTAAAATTTGTATTGAACCACAAAAGACCCCGAATAGCCAAAGCAATCTTAAAAAAGAAGAACAAAACTGAAGGTATCACCATCCCAGATTTCAAGATATACTACAAAGCTATAGTAATCAAAATAGTATGGTACTGGTACAAAAACAGGCATATAGATCAATGGAAGAGAACAGAGCCAGAAAAAAACCCATCATTATATAGTCAATTAATCTTTGACAAAGGAGGCAAGAATATGCAATGAGAAAAGGACAGTTTCTTCAACAAATGTTATTGGGAGAAACTGGACAGACACATGCAAAAGAATAAAACTGGACCATTTTCTTACACCATATACAAACATAAACTCAAAATGGATTAATTTTTTATTTTAATTAATTAATTAATTAATGACCTAAGCCAAAGGCAGAGGCTTTAACCCACTGGGCCACCCAGGTACAGTAATAACCATTTCTTGAATACTTACTATATTCCAGGCACTACATAAGATGCTTTGCATACCTATGAGAGAAATTGCTAGCTGACTGTCATATTCTCTCTTCTGACCTATACACAAAGATTCTATTTCTCACTCAACTTTGTAGCTAGATGTGGCCCTGATACTAAGATAAGTTAGTAAACTAATAAAAATGATATAAGAACCTTCCAAAAGACTTCTGTATCCTGGCCAACTTCGTAAAGGAAGGATTTTTCAGAAAAGATCTGTGTATAAAGAACAGAAATCCCCCAAATGAATCCCAACTCAGGTACCACATCTTAATCTAGACCAAAGTAGCTATTTAGTTTTGTTTTCAAGTTTTAAAAAGATAGATTTCCTTTTCATCATTTCAATTAAAGACTATAAACAAGAACAATAATAACAAAAGAAATCCAGCTAATGAAGGAAAGTTAAAGGTGTATTATGAAGCTGCACAACTCTTTTGAGAGGAGAAGAGTTATTCTGCAGCCATTTTTTTCTGCCTAAACATACAATAAGAATGCCCAAAGAAACATCTGAGACAAAAAATCAAGTTAGCACATGGAGCTTTCTATGTACTTACTCTTCCTCAAATTACATGAAAGGATGAACATATGTATATGTGTGTTTATATGTTTATGTCTCTATCCATAAAACTACAGGAGAGCAAAAAAGCATGCCACTGGTAGACAAGAAAGTTTAATGTTAGAAATAAAATCTATGGGGGCGCCTGAGTGGCTCAGTGGGTTAAGCCTCTGCCTACAGCTCAGGTCATGATCTCAGGGTCCTGGGATTGAGCCCCGCATCAGGCTCTCCGCTCAGTGGGGAGCCTGCTTCCCACTCTCTCTCTCTGCCTGCCTCTCTGCCTACTTGTGATCTATCTCTCTGTCAAATAAATAAATAAAATCTTTTAACAAAAAAGAAAAAAATAAAATCTATGAAGATCAAATCTGTGAGAAAAAAGCCGAAGGAAATTATCCATAACATATGCAGAAGAGTCAACAGACATAATATTGTAATAACTGGCAACAGAGGGTAACTACATTTATCATGGTGAGCATCATGTAATGCGCAGAATTGTTGAAATCACTATGTTGTACACCCAAAACTAATTTTATCATTGTTATGTCAACTACAATTTTTTAAAAAACTCTTTCCTTAAATAAAAAAGTCAACAGATTAAGAAAGACAGTCCTGAGATATTTCTCTGAGCAATTTATTGAAATGCTGTATTTTGAGCAGGTAAGTTAGTCTGCCGCTGCCACTCTCTCATTAGTGGAAAATATTAGGCAGTTTTGGTATGTATTAAGGGCTAACACAGGAGTATAGACATTAAGGTCAGAGAGGCAGGTCAGCAGTGATAACAAACACCCAGAAGAGGTAATGAGCCTTTATTCTTTTTTTTTAAAGATTTTATTTTTTTATTTACTTATTGGAGAGAGAGAGAACGGGAGAGTGGGGTGGGGGGTGAGGAGCAGAGGGAGAGGGACAAGCAAGACTCTGCACTGGGAAAGAAGGTGTAAAAAATGTCAGCAGAGAGTCAGAAGTTCCAGCATTCACCTAGTAGGAGTTCCAGAAGGAGGGAACAGAGAGAATAAAGGAGAAATAATTAACTTACAGAAGAAAACTTCCCAGAACTGAAGAAAGACACGAGTCTACATATTAAGAGAGTCCCCAGAGAAAAACTGAGAGCTTTTCCCCGAAGGTCAGGAACATGGCAGGGCTGTCCACTATCACCACTGCTATTTAACATAGTACTAGAAGTCCTAGCCTCAGCAATCAGACAACAAAAAGAAATTAAAGGCATCCGAGTTGGCAAAGAAGAAGTCAAACTCTCATTCTTTGCACGTGATATGATACTCTATGTGGGAAACCCAAAAGACTCCACTCCAAACTGCTAGAACTCATACAGGAGTTCAGTAAAGTGTCAGGATATAAAATCAATGCACAGAAATCAGCTGCATTTCTATACACCAACAGCAAGACAGAAGAAAGAGAAATTAAGGAGTCAACCCCATTTACAACTGCACCCAAAACCTTTATATACCTAGGAATAAACCTAACCAAAGAGGCAAAGAATCTGTACTCAGAAAACTGTAAAGTACTCATGAAAGAAACCGAGGAAGACACAAAGAAATGGAAAAATGTTCCATGCTCATGGACTGGAAGAATAAATATTGTGAAAATGTCTATGCTACCTAAAGCAATCTACACATTTAATGAAATCCCTATCAAAATACCATCAATTTTTTTTCAAAGAAATGGAACAAATAATCCTAAAATTTATATGGAACCAGAAAAGACCCCAAACAGCCAGAGGTATGTTGAAACAGAAAGCCAAAGTTGGTGGCATCACAATTCCAGACTTCAAGCTCATTACAAAGCTGTCATCATCAAGACAGTGTGGTACTGGCACAAAAACAGACGCATAGATCAATGGAACAGAACAGAGAGCCCAGAAATAGACCCTCAACTCTATGGTCAACTAATCTTCGACACAGCAGGAAAGAATGTCCAATGGAAAAAAGACCGTCTCTTCAACAAATGGTGTTGGGAAAACTGGGACAGCCACATGAAGAAGAATGAAAGTGGACCATTTCCTTACACCACACACAAAAACAGACTCAAAGTGGATGAAAGACCTCAATGTGAAACAGGAATCCATCAAAATCCTTGAGGAGAACACAGGCAGCAACCTCTTCAACCTCAGCCACAGCAACTTCTTCCTAAAAACATCACCAAAGGCAAGGGAAGCAAGGGCAAAAATGAACTACCAGGACTTCATCAAGATAAAAAGCTTTTTTGCACACCAAGGGAAAGAGTCAGCAAAACCAAAAGACAACTGACAGAATGGGAGAAGATATTTGCAAATGACATATCAGATAAAGGGCTAGTATCCAAAATCTGTAAAGAACTTCTCAAACTCAACACCCAAAGAACAAATAATCTAAACAAGAAATGGGCAGAGGACATGAACAGACATTTCTGCAAAGAAGACATCCAGATGGCCAACAGACACATGAAAAAGTGCTCCACATCACTTGGCATCAGTGAAATACAAATCAAAAACCACAGTGAGATACCACCTCACACCAGTCAGAATGGCTAAAATTAACAAGTAAGGAAATGACAGGTGTTGGCGAGGATGTGGAGAAAGGGGAACCCTCCTACACTGTTGGTGGGAGTGCAAGCTGGAGCAGCCACTGTGGAAAACAGTATGGAGGTTCCTCAGAAAGTTGAAAATAGAGCTACCCTATGACCCAGCAATCGCACTACTGGGTATTTACCCTAAAGATACAAATGTAGTGATCTGAAGGGGCAAATACACCCTAATGTTATAGCAGCAATGTTCACAATATCCAAACTCTGGAAAGAGTTTGAATGAATGAATGAATGAATAAAGAAGATGTGGTATGTATGTGTGTGTGTGTGTGTATGAATATTATGCAGCCATAAAAAAAAAAAACCTGAAATCTTGCCATTTGCAATGACATGGATGGAACTAGAGGGTATTATGCTAAGCTAAATAAATCAATCAGAGAAAGACAATTATCATATGATCTCACTGATAT